CTAAAGAAGATGGAATATCAAGTAATGTCACCTGACCTGAATCCCCTCAATTACCCGGTTGGGCGGAGTTCAATAGGGTGGTCTACGGTGGCGGAGAAATCGACTATCTCGCTGATCTCAGGCACCACATCGCGGTCGCGTGCCAGAATCTCTCAATGGCGCTCGTCCAGAAGGCTGTGGCGGAGTGTCATGATAGTATTTGATATGCTCTTTAATATGGTGGTAGAAATGTCCGATCAGAATTTATAAAGTGTAACTTATAGCGCCTCGAAAGTCAATGAAGCAAAGTGACTTTTCTTTGGCCCCCCCTGCGATAGTAACATGAGAACAATATAAGCGGGAAACAGCGATCGGAGAATTTTTTCGCAGGCGCAGCGAATAGCTCTCAAACGCCCCCAACACCCCCCCAACCCAACAAATAACGCCCCCCCCACTTTCCCATCAAAAAATTGCGACCTCTCATCGTGTTTCACACAACAATGCTGCACCCTGATTCGTGAGGATGGAAGTACGGACTTTGTACGGCGGCTAGCCTGAGTCAATCTAGAGGCAGTCGCATGATTTTTAAACGAAGTAATGTCTCGAGTGTTCGAAGTTGGCGGATTGATCATACGCGGAATACGTTTCCACTGAAACTCGACATGGCTCTAGAGCATTGCAGTAGACAGGCTCGTCATCCATGTATCTGTATGGAATGAACAGTTTGTGCCTATTGAACTTGATAGATTTAGCATAGTTGTATTCCATAACTGAAAGCGTGAGATCTGCCAATAGTGGGCTAAAGTTGCCTCCTTGTGGAACACCTTTAGTTTGTTTAAATATGTTATTTGTGAAGATACAGAGGCTAAATTAAATCGCTAGGCCTATAGTATCTGTAGTTGTTCTTTAAGTCGTTTCTATCTGTATATAATACATGGTAACCATTAGTAGATATGTATTTCTTATTTGCATTTTTGAAGCAGATGTTTAAAAGCTCTGCATTTATTAACAATAAGGACGTGTTCAAGATTAGTGAACATATCCGTAAAGTCTGCAGTATATATTTTGAGTCCTTCAGATTGAATTGTATTGAGTTCATGGCTTATGTTAATGTTATTTATAGCCCAATACAGTTTCATTGTTCTGTTACGATTCTCTGTAACTCTAGTGTAGTTTATAAAATGGTTTTGAGGGGAGTGAAAATTATGTGGAGTTCTTGGGCTAACGGTTTAAAATCGGCATGAGTCATTGAAAATTTTCGGAAAAGTGGGTAAAAAGGTTGCTATATATTTCAGCTATTTATTAGTTTATTATTATTATTGTTATTATTATTATTACAACTATTCAAACAAAAACAAGTGTGCAAATCAAGTACCTTATATGCAGTAGGACTCTATTTGGGCACTGGATACTCCCTGCTGATAAAGCTCGTTGAATCTGAAAATAATAATAGTCTCGTTAATGGGTAAACGAAGAAAGTGATTTGAAAAAGGTCCTACTGCGCCATCTCCTCAGATATTTTACCATGGGCTGGAACCGGATACCGGATATCTTGGTGCTGGTACGAAGGTGCTGATACCGGATAAAAATTGTGGGGCGGTGCTAGATACAAAGGTGTGGGAGACGACGTCTGAGGAAACCCTGAAAACGGAACGGCTGCATCCACATAAGAGCAGGAATCAGCAGAATATAATAATGAAGGATTAGTACTTGAATACATGACAACACAAGGAACTTGCTCAACAACAACTCACGTGTTTGCTTTCTACCTGTTAGCTTAAGTATCTACTCATGACCTCTCGTTGAGGTGTTGTTTGGCCAGAGGGCTTTCAAAGTGATAAAGAAGTCATTATCGGGATAATATAGAAGAGGCCAGAGGGTCATTACCTGAACTAACCCGCCGAAGGCAGGCAATGAGGTTCAGCGATATCCAAGGATGCACTTCGTAAACAGTATGGGTTTCCACGTGACTTCTTGAAGCTTTTCGTCATGAAATTTGGAATGATTGAGCTTATATTTTTTATCGATGCTTAGTTGGAAAGCTAGGCATTATACCATTCCAATTAGTTTGACAGGTAGCGCTACCTTATCGTATTACTTTTTCGTAAGCCTTCTTCCCTTTGGAAGATCCTCACGTTTTTCAATCTGTTGAGAGCTTTCACTCAATTTGTGCCGATCTTGGTAGCTCGTGCGTGCCTCGGCTGACGTGCCTCGGCTTAATGAGGTCCCTTCGCACCTCGTTAATTATGCCTCGAATCATAGGTGCGACAAGTCATTAACGAGGTCAATCGTAAAATTTTCCTACGACCCGGGTGAAATGCGTAGCTCATCCCCGAGATATTCATCATAGGCAACAATAACAAATTTGTTCAAACTCATTTTTCAGCGCCTTCTATCACCTTCGTCACCTATCCACAGGCAATCAACGATATGCCTGCTTCTGGAATATTCGCCATTCTTGTTATTCTTCATGTTTTTCCTCTTGGGGATCAGCAGTCAATTTGGTTTGTGGAATTTTTCTGAGAGGCACAGTTCACACTTTTCGTGTGGACGAGGTCGACCTTCCACACACCCTCCTCAACGGCACGTTCTTCTACTGAAATGAAAAAGAGGGCGCAGTGTTAGACGTGACCCCGCCCACACAACGAGCTCGGAGTGTGTGCTCAGGAAACCATGAAATGGAAAAACTGTACAGAAGTTCAGGATTGACTCAAAATGTCGTGACCACCATAACGGACCAATTCCCCTCGTTGAGGAAACGGTATGAACTTGTGGTCATTGGATTTTGTTCGCTATCTCTGCTTGCTGGATTGACAATGTGCCAGAAGGTAGTAGTTCGAATTCACTCATGCGATTACATTCTTTTTTTCTCAAAAATTACGTCGTCCAACCCTCTACCCTCGACCGGACTAATGCCCTTTGCCCAGCTCAGTTCTGTCTGTTGCTGGCTCTTTTATGAAGAGCTCAATCACCTTGTATACAGGGGTTCTTTATATCCTGATTGCAGATATGACATTCATTTTGGCGCTGGCGCGAATGGAGGACACTACGGTTATCTCCTGAGCACAGCCTTTAGCGCAGACAACCGTAGTGTCCTTCGTTAGTGCCAGCGCAAAAATGAATGTCATTTTCGTAAATACCATTGTAAATAACTCCTGTAGACAAGTTATTAGCGGATTTGGTGATCTAGGCACTTCATAAATGAGCCAGCGGCCAAAACTGAGCGCGCCCAAACGGCAACAACCCCTCCCCCCCCCAGTTCTTCAGAGAATAACTTTCAATTTTTTTGTTGCTGCTGGAACATCAGAGAGCCATGGAGCCAAGTGAGTTGGGGGAAGGTTATGGGGCGCGGGTTTGGCAAGTGAGAATTTGCGTTTTCACTGTTTCCTATTGTCGTGTTCATTGCTTTGTAAGAGTAGGCAGGTATATTTGCAAGAGTTAACAAGTAGTTTCTACAAACTTTGACTATTTCACAATATTGCACAAGCCCCTGCTTGACGGTTCGACACGACAATGAGAAGCAGCGAAAGTGAAAATGCCCACCGTTACCTAAACTGCAAGTCTAAACGATCAAAATGCTGAAAGTTCAAGCCACGTCGATCCCATTGCCTGCAGAAGCAATAGCCTGGCCTTTATCCACTGAGCTGAGTCGCTCTTACTTCTAAATGTTCGTATCTACGAGAGGAAAAAGTGCATATTTTTAGAACGGTTATCACTGGTTCAACTTATTTTTCGGGTCGGTCGCTGGAACTGCAGTACTGATCCTCTGCCTAATCGAAATCATCATCTGCGTCTTCGCCTACGGTGAGACCAAAACTGTGATGGGCATAGTCTTCGTTGACTGTATGGTAGGAGACAGCCAACAATATGCCTCTCTCTGGCGTACCTCCTCATCCTGATCGCTCGAGAGAAGGGACTCGCCAGCAAGGAGGGCTGTTTACTGTTAACAGCACGCGTGGACTATGCCTTTTATGGTTTACCTCTTTCCTTGAAATTTGTATAAGGTATTTTCAGGGAGATCAAACCTCAGCAGAGACATTAGAGAGGACCTACAAATTTCATTGAACACAATAGTCACACGGGTCTTTGGCCCATCGGGTTATGTAATGTCGGCTTGCTGGATATTCGTCACGCCTTGCGTTCTTTTGGTACGGTTTCTAATCCACTGTCCGCGCTTACCGTGTGGGCGGAACCAATCAACCACAGTGTCTCCCTCATCGGCATCCGCCGCTTCTATGACGGTGTCAATGAATAAGGTACATTGGTTGAACATGCGCTAATAACCTCGGTGAGGGGGGGGGCACACGCCTGCAAATGCTTTTCGGCATGCCAAATCTCATAAATTGTGTGCATGTGGGCACCGGGCAACCTTGTCAACACCTTGCAAGCCTTCTCTTCATGTTGAATACCTGGTAAATTCTTGTCAAATATGCCAAAATGACTGGTCAATTTTCGGAAACAAGGAAAGATGACGGTTCAATCACACTTGAATCGTTTTGCCAAGACAGTGGTGAAACGATTCCGATAAGATGCAAAAAACCAAGGCAAAGGCACTATTGAAAAGCTCGAAGTGTGGTTCACCAAGTTTACTAGGGCCGGTTTACTGTTTCCGCCCATACGATTGGCGTGAACTATGGTGTTTAGAGGCATGGCACGATAAAATTCTACGACCTGTAGAATTCTTTTCAAAGGCTAGTACGGCCACCAGGACAGAATTCATCCTCAGAGCAGTTGTTGCGCGGCGCATTTGTTGAAGACTACCCCGATAGCGCCCTAGCAGGCTGCAACTTATCGACACGAGCCCTCATCCCGTACACCCCCACAAATGTGCGAACGCATCCGCTGTTCTATCGCCTCATTTGTGGAGTAACTATGAAACATGTATACAATATAAAGTAAACGTATGTACAGTGCTATATTGGTTAAACACATTTTCATTTCAAATCGGACATTCTTCAAATCGAATCCGACCCCTCGCACTGGGGAAGTAGGTTAATTGGACCGCTCCAGCTGCTGTTACAAGCGCCGCCTCAACGTTCGCGCAAACTTCTCGTCTCGGTCACGGCATTCCAAAATGTTTTTTTGAATTGGGATTCCTTGTCTTTTTCCACACTTTTGCTATTTCACACACACTTGTTAGTAAAAAAGTTCCGTACCGGCCCAGATACGTTTCCGCGCACTATTCAAAGAAGTTGTCCCAAGTTTGAGCTTCATAGTTTTCATGACGCCGTTAATTCACATTCGTCCTCCACAAAAGGATCTCTCATAGTTCATTGGCACTCTGGGCTCCGACCTTCTGACCACGCCCACTTCCTCTTTGCGGAATTTCGATTTTTTTGCTTCCGAATTTTCGCTTCTTAGGCTGTAGCGGGTAGCTCCTCCTCCTACTATTGGAAAATGATCTACTACGGCAGGCTGGAGTCCGTACGGTAAAGTTGTGGCTTCTCTCGTCAACCACAACAAAAAAACAAGGCAAAGTTTTTATTCGAGGAGGGGAAAACCATAGACGGGGCCTCTAATACTGAGCGGAGCTGCAATACATAGCTTCAAAAGGGGATAATCTGGTGAAAAGAACAAGCCGTGAAAAAAGTGGGCGTGGTCAGAGGAGCGGGGCTTTATATAAACGGAAACTTTGAGGTTAGCGAACACTTGTTCGTTCTTCAACGTTTTCGTCAGCAAAATAACGGATATGGTCACACTCTTTTGAAAAATGGCTACGAAGAAGATTTATTATTACTAGCATTGTGAAATGTATTTACAAAAATAAATTTATAAGTTACAAATACTCAATCGCAAATAACTATAGAAAGATAAATAGACTAGTAACAGGTATTCTCATTTGCAGCGGTGCTCAACACTAATTCTCCTCCTTCCGCTACACTTTTAATTGATTTGATTGTTGTAATCCGCTTGGACATTGGTTGATACTCAACATCTTTCAGTAGGTTTAACCTATTAACAATCCAATTTTCCTTCCTCCTACACGTATTTACTACTCATATCGTGTTATATCACTCTTTCATTATTATGTATAATTGGCCATCATCTTGATATGCATGAACTTTGCATGTATACCCCTTTACTTTTACATCTCTCTCTCGTTTTATCCTATTTCTCACACCTTCCCCTATGTAGTCCATGTCCTCATGTCGTCAACCT